AATAATTCCAATTAAAAGTATTAATATCAATTTAGATATTTTACAAAAAAGTAATTTAGAGACAAATGAAAATATAACGATAGATATTGATGATCCTAAAATTGTTGAAGAAGTTACAGAATTAATAGGAAAGGCAGCATATAGGTCATTAAAAGATATTTTATCATATATTATTCCGTTTTTAGTTTAAAAAAGAACTCTTCAATTATCAGATCCAACTTTACATATCTGAATTTTAGGAGATGGCCATAATGTTAGAAAAAAAATAAAACATATAATGGTTACATTTGCACTGCTTAATGATTTAGATACTATTTATTATTCTGAAAAACACTATACTCTTTTAATATACCCGGTATTAAAAAATATGAAACTTTGGAAATTGTATTAGCACTATTAATTCAGGAGTTAAGTGAGATTCAATCTAGTTATTTGGATAATAAAGGACATTATTGGAATATATGTTTATATTTTTTAGCCGATTGAAAATTTTTAGCAATTTGTTTAGGACATAAGGTGGCCAATGCAGAAGATTTTTGCCTTTGGTGCTCAATTAAAAAAAACAAAATGGAATTAAAACATATAACTGGACTATATCTAAACGTATAGAGAATCTTAATATTAATTACTTCAAAATACCTGGTCATAAAAGTAAACCTTTATTTTCTATGATTTCTCTAACTCATTAGGTTGTTGATGAACTTCATGTGATGTTATGAATAACAGACCAATTGTGGTTACTTTTAGTTTCAGAGGTTGGCACCAAAAATAATTCTAAAGTTCGTACTATAATTAGCTAAGAAATGTTGCGAATTCATATTCACTTTAATTGGTGGGAAGATCCAAATACAAAAATGTAGACATCAACATCTTTAACAGGAGTATACAAGCTAAAAGTGTTACAAAATTTCAATTTAGATTTGTTATTTTTAGATAAACATCGTGCTTAGTTAATTCAGCAATTATAGAATAGTTTTAATAAACTTTATGAAAACATGCATAAACAACATATAGATGGAGTTGAATTCAAAAAAAAAGTATTAAATTAGATAGATTTATTTCTAACTCCATCTTCAGGTAATTATAATTTTTTACAAGCTTTTATTAATACTGTAATAAGATTTATATTTTTTATTTTAATTTAGACAATCTGAATCATTTACAAACCTTTGTTCAAGGACTTTATCAGCCAAACGATATTACCCCCTATATTCATACTTTGATTTATCATATTCCAAAGTTTCTTAATATTCATTTAAATTTTGGTATACATAGTTTTTCCTGTTCTGCAGTTGAAAAGAAAAATCACCAACATGTTATATACTTTTTTCAAAAAACTTTAAAAGATGGAGGGAAAGAAGATATACACAAATCAGCAATTGTTGAAATAATAGAATAGGAGAATAGAAATTTATATTTTTTGACACATGACGTTCCTGTTTTCTTTGAAAAAATTACTTTTATTAATGTCGTTATTTAATAATATAGATCTTTAATAAATTGTAACATTACGATAATCTGTAATAATATCGAAATTATGTTTAATTACTATTGGACAATACTTTGTATAATCTGGTAAGTGATTATTAGTTTATATGAAACTAAATATTCATGTTATAAACACTTACATTTTATTTATTTATTTATGATACGTATAAAGACTATTGAGCTTTTCAGTTTATTTTAAATCAACAATTCAGATTCATTAAATATTTACTATTTAACAAGATTATTCGTATTAATCTAGCAAGTTTAAAAAATACAATTATTCGTATTAACTGGTAAGTATTAGGGTGTTTGTTAATCTATTTAAAATTCAATTTAAACTTATTTCTTGTTGAATATATTCTAAACCATTTTATTTATATTAATATAGTATCATAAAATTCAAGTACTGTATAATCTACTTCTCAAACAGTTTTATTAATTTAGTAAGTACAAAGATTATTTTATTTTTCATTTAAAGTTAATGACTATTTTTAACTATATTTTATTTACTATCATACAGATTTTTCAAATAATTTCATATATTGCTAAACAAATATGTAAGATAGGTGTTTAAAAATAAAAGGCAATTAAAATCTGTTAAAGGTAGAAAATTTAAATAGATAGCTTAACATTGAATTTTACTATAAAAATGGAGTAGCGTTTTGAAAGATAAAAAATATATATTTGGGCAAAAATTTAGATCTACTAAACAAAAATTTAGGCAAAGGTATAATAACTTTTTTACAAAATTGTATAACTTTATATTACTGACGATTATAGAGATGCTATATTAACTTCTAACAAGTTTTACTATTATACTTACAATTTTTCATATCTTTAACTGCGATTTATCTCTTAAAGTATTTGAAATATGCTGAAAGTGAAATTTGAGTAGATATAAAATAACATTATTATAACCAGAAAAAGATATTTTAGACAGCTTTGAAAGAAACCTTAGAACAAGCACGCAAAGAATATGAAGATAAAAGAGCTATATTTGTCCAAAGAAGATTGTTCACCAAATGAAGAATCTGACGTCTTTAATGAGAACATTTTTTTTAAGAAAAATCATATTCCAGAAAAAAATATACCTCTGGGTGAAGATGATGAGCTCGAAAAACAGAAATTCTACAACTCCACCATTTTATTGGTTATATTATTGAAATGGTAAATATTTAATTAGATAATTATAAAAGCTATTGTTGGTATATTTAAAATCAGCAATTTAGACTTATAAGCACTTATTACTAAATATTAATATAGTATATAAGCGTAATCAATCACTTCTCAGACTATTAATTAAAATGTAAGTATGAAGATTATTTATTGGTTTGTTTATGATCAGTGACAAATTTTAAATATTTTTATATTAGTATTTATTATTAATTTATTTATTAATCACGATTCAGGCTTATAAGCACTTATAGCTATATAGTATTGCCTGAATTATCCAGTAAGTTGATATATAGATTGTAATTTACTTAAAAATGAGTGCATGAAAGTAAAAACCTGAAAACCGATTTAATGATTTACTATAATCAGTTTCCAGGTTTTCACTCTCACGTACTCAAATCAGAAATTCATCAAACAATAATTCATAAATCATTTTATTTATGAATAGGATATTGCTACCAAAATGATATTGTGTTACTAAAAAAAAAAAAATTGAATAATATTTGAAATCCACTAAAGGTAGATTTAAATAGACAACTAATATTGAATTTTATTAAAAATAATAAAAACTCAATTGGGAAATCTAATGTTGGACATTTATATTAATTTTAAATTAATATAATGCGTATCTTGAAAGTATTGTATAACTTTGATGTAATAGCATTGCAAGATCAAATTAAAAAAATCTTAATAGTTTAAACTTATAAGTTTACAAAGTAAAAAGTCTTTTATCTTAAAAACGAATAAATAAATATAATTGTTCTTGCTGTCTATTTCTAGATATCTATTTCTAGATACTTAATTCTGGACATTCATTTTCTGACAACCAATTTTAACAATAGTATTAAATAATTATATTTCAGAATACAGGTAAAATTATAGGAAATTTGATAAAATAATTGTTGATAAAGTGGCTTTTTAGAAAATTGTACCAGAAGCTTTCAGAAGATCATACAGAATTATTACCATAAATAACTAGATAAAAGATCCAGATCTGCTATGTACTATACCAAGATGCGAATTACAAAATCTGTATAAATAAAAGATAGTTTTTTTCAAATATTCAAACTGTCATTAGAAATAAAAAATATATGTGCTCTTTAAAATTCTCTTTTTAAGATATAAACTCCTAACTATGTACTACACCTGGGGTCTATTATAAGTTTGAAATCAGTAGAATATAAGAAACCCAGGTCTTTTATCAGGCCATTTATGGTACTAAATATATGTAAAAAGGATTATGTCTGGATAAACTGATAAATTTATTAATTTGCTTAATTATAAATACATATACAATAATGTTTTAATACAAGCCTCAAATAATCTAAATGATTAAATTAATTCTAATTTAAAGAGATCTTAGAAGTTCTTTTTTCATCATCTTGTAATAATCCATTAGCAAAAATTTCTACCTGTTGTTTTAACTATATGACAAGTTTAGCTTTGATATAATTCTGATCTGATAAAAAAAAATAATTAATTTAATAAATCTTATACTTGAAATGTGTTATCATTAACTTGAATCTTACATATTAGTAAAAAATTCAACTACTGCATCATTATTAAAGGATCTATTGTTAAAAGGCTTGGTATAGTAGAATAAACATATTTAGATGTATGCTATATTTCTTTATAAAAATAATTATTATGAGTAATAAACAAGACAATAACTATTTATCTAATATTAATTTATCTTTACCTTGCTGTTTGAAGATATCAAATCTGATCTAGTGTAGATAGAAGTAATAGTGACTAAATTTCGCATCTTGTTATTTGACCTAAATCAATGAAATTTATTTATACAATGCTTAAATACCAAATATATTTTGAAAAAACAATCTGGATTTAGTCACTTTTCAACATATTTGCCTTTCAAGGTGTTTTCCTTTCAAAATCACTACTATCCAGTATTCTAAAATCCGTAATTGATTCTATATTATCATAAAATGGTAATAGCTTGAACTATAGAGTTGGATAGGAAGATTAATAACTAGTCTATGTTTAAGATTAGATTGCATGTAAGAAAAAGTTGTGTTTGAAGCTTTAGGAGAACCTAATCATAATATAATATGGTAGAATTTGTAATATATTATTTAATGAGATTGTATATTCAATGATAGTTAAGTGATCGTATATATATATCAAACTAATCATACCTTGGCTGTTGTACATTTTTCTGCAATAATACAAAATTAAATGCTGATCAAGTATGATCACATAAAACAGTATGAGGAACTCTATGCAAACAACTCATCTATCTTTAATATTTAAAAAAAAAATAAGTTTTATTTTTAAAAATTTACAAATCTAAAATATAAAATTACCTGGCTTAAACTTTGCTATCTGCCCATAGACTTGCTATAATCGAATCTTTAAAGATTATTTAGCCACTAGTTTTCTAATCTCTTCCAAAAAGTTGATAGTAA